TGTTGTTGAGTATGCTAGGAAGCTTCATAAGTATTTTCCTAGTAATATCTTGTGGTTATTTAGAATATGAAGTTTACTTGGATTGTTTGGAAAATTGTTCCCAATCATTTCGCTTATGGAAAGCCTTTGCCTGTAAATCGGTCTGGGGTATATATATGAATTGAAATATTGAATCTTGAGTTTTTCTGGATGATTTTGCCGCGTTTGTTTTAATTTCAAGATAATGATTGTTTTTTTTTTTTTTTTAAAGTTAGTATTGTGTCTGTGTCATAGTTTATCTGACCTTTCCTTCCCCTAGGATTGTCTGATTCAACAAACCTTATCCGTTATGTCCAAATGGAAATATTAAAATAAGAAAGAAAAGCTTCTCAAAATGGAATAAGATTGTTGAAAGACTTATTCCGATCATAGAGATTACTATTATTTTGTAATATAGGATTTTCATGAAATTAACTTTCTATTTATGCAATTATATGTACCATCACAATGTTCGTCATCAGAATCATCAGGTTGAAACAGTAATAATACCTTTCTTTTAAAAAAAAAAATTTGTGAACAAGAGATCATTGCTTTTGTCACGGGTTGGCCAAAGATGTTATTTTTTGTCATGGGTTGGTGATACATATTTTTTTGTGTGCTTATGTGTATAATGGTGACAGAAAAACATAAAAATTAATTAATGCGTCAATTAATAACGAAAGAAATAGGGGGAATTTGTTATCAATTGACTTCCTAAAATAACAATTGATTCTCAAATCCAGATATTCATCCTAGAAGAAAAGAAGCAACAATACGACCAAAGTCAACAGTTCATGTTCGGCTGTGAGAGAAGTTCATCCTCAACATGTAATTCAATCACTGCCCAAATCGTACATTAAAAGTTAAAAACAGTACCCCAAAAAAAAAGTAAAAAAAATCTGCGAGGGTTTGGAAATTTCTGAAAACTCAAAAGGCACCTGCGTTTTGGGGTTCCTTCCACCTTAAGAACTCTCTTGAACCCTCTTATAAATCGCGCTGCTTCCTTCCTCCCTCCTTCCATTTCCCCCATTCAAATTCCAAAAAAAAAAAAGATCTTTCTTTTTAAAGGGAAACTTTAGAGGGGAAAAAAAACGCAGATTTCATTTGCGTTGCTAAAGAGAAAAGCAAAGATCATCAATTTACGCGTTAGATTGAACAGAAAATTTAAAGAAAGAACAAAAAAAAAAAATGGGGCCAGGTTTGGCATTGAACGCCGTAGCAAGACAAGCCGAACAATTGAGGAAAGATGGGAACAATTATTTCAAGAAAGATCGTTTTGGGGCTGCCATTGATGCTTATACTGAGGTAAAATAAATCTTTTTTTTTTCATTTTTGTTTGATTAGTTAGTGGTTACTAAATAAATTTCTTAAATTTCTGATTTTCTGTAAATATGTATTTTTTTGGTGTAAAGGCGATTACTTTGTGCCCTAATGTTCCTGTGTATTGGACGAACCGCGCTATTTGCCATCGCAGGCGAAAGTATGTATGCTTAGTGCTTTTTAAGTAATTCTTTTTATTAAAAATGGTTTCTTTTATTTTAGAAAAAAAAAAAAAAACCGAAAGTGGTTCTTGAATGTGTCTTGTTTTCTTGTTTCATTTGGTTATTGATTTAACACAGCGATTGGTTGAAAGTGGAAGAGGATTGCCGGAGAGCTATTCAGATTGACTACAGTTCTGTCAAGGTAATTTATTTCTCTTTATTATTCGGTTTTGCTGATTCTTTCAGTGTGGAGAGTGCGTAATTAACACGAAAAGCCATGCACCTATCCATGTATTGAAAGGGTTTGGCTTCTTCTTGTCTTCATCGGGGGCCCATTTGTTCTTACTTGATAATTCTTTTGTATAATAGTGAGCTATGTTTAGGGGAACAATAAGAAGGTCTTCAACGAGTATTAAGTTGTTTGAAGCTTCATGTCAGGCTGACATTTGAGTTTAAACTCATCTTTGACTCTTTAAATAGTTCTTAAGGAAATGAATCAAGCTTCAATTTGAAGTCTGAATAAGGTTGGAAATATGGGATAGGTTGAAGCAAATTAAGGATACTCCATAAGTCAAGTGGCACCAATTATCTTGCTATGTTAGTCTTAGGTATAAACTAATCCAAAGCTGGTTTGGAACTCTTGAGATGCTCATGTGTCTTAGGTTGTTCATTTGAACTACCAATGCAGCATAAAAATTGCATTAGATTTTCTCAAACCATAAACTTTTTTTTTCCTTTTATGGATGATCTTGACAATGAAGCTTGGTTTTGCAATGTGGGGCATCATGCATTTCTCCAGCTGGTTTGGTCCTGCTTGTTATTGGCTTGAAGGAAAATATCAACTGGGTTAAAAGTTTTTACTTCTTAACCTTTAACTGCAAGCTATACCTACCTAGTTATGTTCATTTTTATTTGTTCTTCCTATGGTAATAGAGAACTGATGTTTGGCTTAGTTTATGCTTTATATGCATATCTTTTCTTTTACTATTGCTACTAACAGGGTTTAGTTACATTTTGCTTCATGATAGGCACACTACATGTTGGGACTTGCTTTGCTACAGAAGCAAGAATTGGATGAAGGGGTCAAGGAACTACAAAAGGTACAGGCGACATGATAAATCTTTCTGTTTCTTGAGAATTAGGAATGATAAGCAAATGAAACCATTAAAGTTTTTAGGATTACTTTGATATTCACGTTATCCATTAAAACTTATTCTAATGAACTAAGCATTGGCCTTTGAAGTCTGGTTATCCTAGCGAGTGGTCCAAATATTTTAGGGTTAGAAGCTTTGTAATATACAACTTTTTTCTGGAAGTTATTGTTGGAACTGCACTTTTATATAGATTCCACTCTTTCTTCACAAAAATATTGCAGAAGTTATTTTTGCCTGGAATATATATATATATATATATATATATATATGCAAAGATGATTGAGTTGTATCAGGTTTTGTTGCCAAATATCCTTGGGTTTGGTTCTCACTGTGTGTATAATCTTATAGGAATTAGATTTTTAGACTAAATGAACCTGTATTGAGCATGTATTTCCTTCTCTTAGCATCATACTCACAAGCTAACTTGCTTATGTAGGCAATGGATCTTGGAAGGGGTGCAAATCCCAAAGGTTATATGGTAGATGAGATTTGGCAGGAGCTTGCAAAGGCAAAGTACCTACAATGGGAGCATGCATCTACCAAACGTTCATGGGAATTGCAAAGTTTGAAGTATGTCATCCTTGTGAGTTTAGACATTTGCTTCCAGGGGAAAGATTACCTCTTTTAAATCTTTTCACGGAGAATTGTTCCTAATGTTTGTTTTTGGTTCATACAAATCTTCTCTCTGTTTTGCAGGGAGGCTTGTGAAACTGCTCTGAGAGAAAAACATTTTCTTGATGATTCTCAACCTGAAGGTTTCTTAGATGAAGCTAGTATTTCCCATATGAAACAACTAGAAGCTCTGGGACAAGTGTTTAGGAAAGCTGGTGAAGCTGACATCCCTGGTGAGGTAAGAATTTGTGTTGTTTTATTTAGCGTATATCCTTCATTTTAATTTTTAATTATACGTGCTATTTTATATTCGTGCTGAGACATGATAGATAATTTCAGGTGCCGGATTACTTGTGTTGTAAAATCACACTTGATATTTTTCGTGATCCTGTCATTACTCCAAGTGGAGTTACATATGAGAGAGCGGTGATCCTTGATCATCTTCAGAAGGTGACGTGCTATGGAAATATTGTATGTTTAGATGTCTTTTCATTTAACACTAACATTAATCATCAACCTACTAGGAAACAGGTTGGTAAGTTTGATCCAATCACGCGTGAGCCACTTGATATATCCCAGCTTGTACCCAACTTGGCGATAAAGGAAGCAGTCCAAGCATATTTAGATAAACATGGTTGGGCATACAAGACGGACTAAAGGTTGAATGTTCTGGTAACTTTGCTGGGCATGCGTTGACTTAGCGTGGCAAAGAGAAGTTATTGGTCGGAGTCTGCTATTCTATTTGGTGAACATCAGTCAGATTTGGTATAGCTATTTCATGAACGCTTCAATGTGTAATGCCATGCCATTTACCGGCGCATGTTGAGGTCCTGTGTTACTTTTAAATTGTACAGTTATTCTCATAAAAATTAACCTGTACATATTTATCAAAACTAATTCATGCTATTATGAGTGGCCGTGTATGGGCTTCATGGCATTAGCAGCAGACATTTTATTGTCAGCCTGCATGTTTCAACCTATTTTTAGGGTTTTTGTTGTATATGACATGTAATTTAGTATATGCTTTAGTTTATCTAAATAATCGTGAAAGCCATTAGCAGCTAGTATTTCCAGGCTTTCCAGCTAAGTCGGTGTGTCCGACTTGATAAGTCACCCTGTCTAAATCTGAGTAATCATAGTCAAGAGGAGCTATGAATGAAAATTGAGCTTTTGATAATACCAATCTTTGGTGTCTCTTGCTCTTTTCAGGTCTAATCAGAAGATCCAAAAGATCCATCTGGGAATTTATCTACATTGTAGAACAGTCACCAAGGCACCAACCCCGTAAAAACTCAGTATAATCCAAAACATAAAATTTTATCACCACTAAAAGACTGCTTTTGTCGGTTGCGCATTTCACCACCGATTTATTGGCAGGGTACGCCCAAGTTCACCTATTATCCTTGCTGCTAAACAAGGTTTTCACCAAAATTTATCACTATCTGTAACTATAGTAAAGATTTGCATGCATCGCATATGCTGACAATCGGATGTTTCCAACGTCAATATTGGCAGCTTAAGCCCGTTGAAGGTAATCACATGGAACAGTGTCACGGATTGCAAGGTATGGTTTTGGCCATTTAACTACCTGATTTTTATCAATTGTCTTCGTAGTTTTATATATATATATATATATATCATTCAACATTCATGAATTTTGTAAGGTTAAAGACGAATTTTAACATTGATAGGCTGCATTCAGAATTTTTTTATTTTAAAAATATTTCTTACAAAAATTGAAGAATCTAATACAAACTTTCGTACAACCACCAAGAATGCAAAACTCGAATAAAACATTGAGAAAGTACAATGCTATTAGTTTGTCTAAACCCATCAACTAAAACCTTAGGCATGGGTTACTAGAAAAGCCCAATAACCTTGGTCATCCAACTAATGGGTCCAAAAACAAATATTTGCCGGTAACCAACATTCCTTGTTTTGATAAAGACGCAATGGATAGACTCATAAGAAACTAATCAAAAGAACCTAAAATGGGGAGAAGGGATTCGATTTTTTTTTTATATCCACCAGTGAGGAATTTTTGTAACTCTATGCAAATAGTAGGAATAAATTTAACTAAACGCCAAAGATTGCTTAAAAGTTTCATTATTAGCATTGAAAAAGGTCAAGGAAAGGTCAAAAGTAAAGATATTAAAAATCATGCAATTTGCATTTGTTGTCTGTGTTTCTGTGGATATGGGTGAGAAGCCATCCTAATTCACTCGTTTTCTTTGCTAGCCTTGTAGTATAGGTATAGTTTATAGCAAAGTCACCTCAATGGTTGTTTTCAATGCACATGATTTTGTTTGTTCCGAACATGGTATCTGTATCCTTTTTCCCATTCAATTCAAGTATTTAGCCAGAAATGAATGAAGAGACTATCTATTACTTCCCACTCACCAAAAGAAAAAAAAAAGGCCAGCGCATAAACCAATTATTCAGTTTCATCGTATCACATCAACAGCAATAATTCCATAATCACTGACCCATTACACTCTGCCGTGACCAATTATTTTTGTTTGTTTTACGGAAAATATTAATATTGGTTATATTTGCTTTATTTCAAATTTATACAATTTATTCACATGTAAGTTATGAATTCATGCATCTTAGGTTCTTAACCGGCGTTTGTACAGATATCTGTTAATGAAGTTCGTTTATGTAGTAATTGAAAATTGAATGCCTAAAACAAGAAAAAGAAGAGATGCTGAAAATGTGAAAAATCACTATTTTTCTTTATGGATGAATGTCATTTGAGAGAATATTAGAAATTAGTAGAAATGGCATTTACCACTCTGCTATGTGTGGATTACAACCAACAGTTGTGATTCTTAACTCTAATTATTAGAGTTAAATTCTGCCGGCCTCAATTATATAAAAAAAAAAAGTGTAGACTGCAGGCTTGAGGCCACAGCACAGGGCAAAGCATATGCGCATTTCCCTTTGGAAGGTTGCGAGCTATCATGAGCCATTGCAGTCGGCAGTGGCACATGGTAGACCCATTTCGTTTCGGTGAATTTGTTTGATTTAGCGAAAAACATCAACGACCTCTCTCTATTTTACCCCCTTTTTCCAATCTCCCATGCACGCAGTTATGTGAGCTTAGAAGTGTTCACTTTCTTAAGTTTTTTTTTTTAACTAACATTCGATGTTTAAATGATTCTGTCCTGTAATAAAAGGTCCAAGTATTAGAAGAATATGTATTTTTTTAAGTCTCTCCATGCTTTGATGGAAGTGTTTTTGTCCTGGTCATTTTAGTTAGACAGACAGCCACTTATGATTTTGTCAAACATTCCATGATCATTCCACTTCTTGGCCAAAAAACTGCTCAAATTAGCAAAACCACAGCTATTGTTTTTGATTTGGGAAATTGGGGTAAGCAAAATGTTTGGGATGCAACACTCTTATTTGTTTATACAAAAAGTATATGTATGACAGTTCAACTATTAAAACATGGGTTCCAAATCAGGAATTTTCCTAGTATTCTAATGCGTTTGGAATTTCGTAACATGTTTTACTTAACCAATTAGACAAAACCGTGATCATCATAGTGTTGAGAACCAAAATTTCAGACCGTAAACCAACACGGTTTGAAGTATTGCAATGAAATTCTTTTGGAATGTTTAGTTTGTTACGCAGTTGTTTTCTCGAATGTGAATTTATACACAAATCACACGTCAATTGCTCGTACTAAAACAGGTTTAGGTGCCGCAGACGTCGGCACCAGAAAACAAATCTAGACATAAGAATTAGAGATGGATATAAGTCACTCTCAGATCTCAGTTTCAACCTTACTCCATCTTCAGACATTCGTTACTCATTCATCTAATTGCTTGAAAAGAAGAAAAAAATGGGGCGGTGGATACTTGCTATTGCTAGTTGTCACGAGCATTTATTGGTTAAAAGGACATTGTTGTCTTTTTCTTTTATTATTAGAAATTATCAACATAAAATCAATGACATTTTAAATATTTGAATTGATCTGATATATTAAATTGACCTGATATATTCAATATCACATCAGTTTGATTATGTCATTGTGATCTTCTATAAATCTTTCATCTTCTGTCTATAAATATTGACATCCGATTATTATCTTTTCATTTCATTTGATCTCTAATTCTTTTTCTTTTCCACAGAAAACACTTTCTGTCTTTGCTTCTAGTTGCTCTCCTCCTCTTATAATTTTCAGGATTATTTCAGCTCGGAGCTGGGCACAACAACTAATATTAGCTTTGAGAGAAGTACAAGAAGAAGAGAATGAAGAATTTGGGGAGATTGGAGGAAAGGGGGCAGGCAGCAAATTGGACCACAACACCAGAAATCACCAGCCATTCGAAATGGACACATTCTTCCCATTCCAAATCGAACTCTTTTAAGGACCATTCATTCAACTTTTTCATTCATTTATGAATAGTGTGATAAAAAGATTGGTTCCATCATCGGTTGGACATCGAGTGAAAGAACCAGTCTTTGCTATTGCAAGAAAAATTCATATATTGTACGACGCAATAGGTTATGGACAAAACAAAGCCGAAGTTGAAAGATATAAAATCTTTCTGGTATAAATCCAAGACTGAAGGATGAAGTACAACTTGTTGAAAAGGGGAAAAGTTATATGTCAAGTAAAATTCAAGTAGCTACTAAAAAGGCCATGTGAAGGAACTATAGGATCACAAAAAAAAAAAAAAAAAGGGAATCTGATGCATGACGGAAATTCAAATAAAAACAAGAGTATATGCTAGAAAACAAGTAAAAAGAGCCAACATTCTGTTACCTGTAAAATCCAAATGCCGGCAAAATTTTGTTGGAACAAACAAAAGAGAAAATCTTATAAACAAAAGCTTCCAACGTGTTTATTAACAGAGGCTAACTCATAAAACTGAGATTAAAACACTGATGAAGGTCAAGAATTTACATCGGAATGATGATATGCTACACTGATCACCAGGAGTTGGAAACAGAATTTACAAATGACGCTTTTACTAAGATTTTCATGCGGTATGAGTAATATTAACAGCCCTTCTCAGTCTCTCAAGAATGCCATTAGCCTTTCTCTTCGCTCTAGGAGTTCCAACTTTAGCAAGCTTAGACATTGTTCCATGGGTACTTTCTTCTTCCTTTAGTGCCTTCCACTTGGTTCGATCATTAAGACAGACAGTGTGGAGGATCGCGATGCAATTTTCCTTCTTGCGTTCACAAGTGCTCTCCCTGACAATGCAAAGCAAGCAAGGAACAGCTCCAAGCTCCCCCATTTCCTCAACAGCCCTTTGATGGGTTGAAAGCATCGCAAGGATAGCCAATAACTCATCAACAAGCACACCATCCATTATCTTTTTTAAAATGACCCTTACTGCACCATCTCTCACAGCTCTTGCCTTATTCTCATGAATAATGCATAGGTTAAATATAGCAGAAGCAACATCTTTCATTGCTAATGGATGACCCTCATCTAGAAGGTCAATGAGAGGTTTTAAGGCACCTGATTTACCAATAAGTGCCTTGTTAGAATCATGTGCAGATAAAGTGAAAAGGGCTGCAGCCGCATTGCTCCTTGTTTCAATAGTCCCAGATCTCAGTGCTTCCATAAGAAGAGGAATAACCATTGGAGTTTCAGCAACGAGCTTCTTATTGCTGTCATGGATTGAAAGGTTCAAGAGTGTCGTGATCACATCTTCCTGGAGATCAGGGTGAACACCACTCTGAGATTTGCTTCCAGAAAGCGGGGTGAGCAGTTGAGGAATCGCATCAACAGATTCACCAAAAAGACCCCGGAATGAAGGCATCTTTTTTGTCAACAAGCGAAGCTCCTTAGCTGCTTCCTTCTGCTCAGGAAGCGTGGCAGACAACTTTTCCATCAAAGAAAAGAAATGGTTACGTTCAGCTTCGTTGACCCCCTCCTCTTTACCATACTGAACAGCGTTTGGCAATTCTATTCCCTGACTCTTACACCACTGCGATATCATTTCCCTGATAAGGTGATTAGGAGTGAGAACCGTGTATGAAAGAACTTGTTGGGTTCTAGGGCAAGTCCTATTGCCTGCATTCAGCCATTTCTGGATAAAGGGTCTATCGTATGTCTGCACATAGACATATGAAACCAAATCAGAAACCAAGACACATCGACGCTTAACGCAAACTAGGACAACCAATCCAATTGGTGAACTTGAATCCATGGACATCGAGTTAAAACAAACCCACTAAAAATAATCATCGCAAAAAAGTTACGCAATTAAAAGGAAGCAAATTTCTTTTACTTTCCCAGAGCATTCTAATCTCTAAAAACAGGACGATAAGGCAAAAATCTACTTGAAAGATAAATTACAAAAATCCAAATCACGGCCCGAATTTTAATCTTTAAATAGTTGAGAAACTAGTACGAATACCCACTGCACTTTCGAATCTTCAATTTCAATGAATTACATCAGAATCACTCTACATGTCTATCAATTTCTTACTGAAACCAAAATGCAGAAAAAGAAATTCACTTTAACTGATATAATTCGAGGAGAAAAATAGACAATAATAATTTTTTTAAAAAAAGGAAAAGAAGGTGGAACCCATGCAGCCACGTTTTTCTTCAACACCAAACAGTCAAACAAATAAACAACCTTCATCACCAAAACATCAGAAATTTTCTTATAACATTGAGAAAGAGAAATCAAACGACCCAAAAAAATTATTATAAATTACTACATATTTGAAAAAAAAAAAAAAACAAACAAACAGAAGTTGCAATAACATGATTTTCGAAAAAAAAAAAAACTCAAGATACCGAATTCAAACCACTCGGTTATCCACTAAATTAAAATCCCACTTGAATTATCTCAAATTATAGCTTAAAACCCCCAAAAAAATCCTTTTTCAAAAATTCGTTTCCTTTGAAACATCAAAAACCAGTCCAAAATTTTCATAAATAAAAGAAACAGAGCTTTACCTGGCCAGAAGCTAAAATAACAGGATCTCTCATAAGCTCTTTAGAAAGAGGACATCTAAACTCTTCAGGACAGGACACGACTTTATGTAACTTCAACGACGACGTTGTGGTAGCCGCCGTCGATCGTTTGCTGAACTTAAGCTCTCTCAAAGCACAAAGAACATCTTTAGCTTGATCGATGGTGTGGATGATGTAATCATCATCGTCGACGATTGTCCTAACCAACATCTGCAATTCTTTCTTCAATTCCGCCGCTTTCGCTCTCACCGTTGGATCAGAACTCAACACCCCGATCTTCGCCATCTGATCCTTTCCGCCCCCACCACCACCACCCAAAAATAATTTTTAAAAAAATAAAAAATCAAAGCCGTTAACTATTATCAAAAGATAAAAAACAGAGAATGAGAATGCTTTCTTTCATTCTCTCTTTTTTTTTTTCTATTCTGAATTGATTCACAGTTTAAAACTGAACTGAGGGGAAAAAAAAAAAAAAACAATACAAAGTTAATGCTTGTCGCTCTTCCCCCTTTCTCGTCTCACCTCACTCAATATTTATTATTATTATTTTCTATCAAAAAATTGTTTTTTGTGGGGGTTGGAATTTTTTTTTTTTTTTAGGCGTAGGAGGTTTGCTCTCTCTAAACACGCCGCTTTAATGAGTTTCAGCCTTTCAGGTCAATTAAATGAAAAAATTTCAAAATAATATTTTAATTAAACTTAACAGTTATTTTAAGACTTGGCTTTACTTGTTTTAAAAAATAAAAATTTCAAGTTATAATTATTGAAGTATTAATTTAAAAGAATTACAAATCAAATTTTTATATTCTAAATGTAATCATAAAAGTTTTTTTATGCAAATAAATATATACCTTTTACTCAAATAATTTAATTCAAAGTCCACATTTCCAAATAAATAAAAACTTCTATATTTAAAATCTTCATGTGTTGGCCATAAAAAAAAAAGTTTTTCAATTTGAAAAATTATTTTTTTCAATTTTGAATTTTTAGATGATGAACATTCTTTTCTGTTGAAAAGTTTCGTACAGTTTTGAATGTTGGCGCAGTTTTCACCGTCCAACTATTCTTCTCACACTCTTTTTCTGTGGTCTAAGTTCTAGGCTACGTCGTTATTGAATCCAAGGAAAATAGGTGACTGTTGAAAATTAATGAAGTAATAATAACTTTAATTTTGTAGTATCAATTAAGAATGCTTATGATTACTGTTTAAAATTAATTAAAATTAAATTATTTTTAAAAATTTATACTAATATATTATTTTCATCAAATTCCATACAAATAATGGATTAAAAAGAGAATATTAATTAGTGTTTAGTGATTTTGGTTAATGCGATCTTTAAATAAAAAATATAAAGAATTAATATGTTAGTTCTTGCATTTAATAAAATAGTGCATTAGATTAAAAAATTAAAACGATATTTTAATTACTACATCCGTTATGTTAAATTAGAATTACTAAAAGTTTTGCATCCAATTAATATTAATTAATCAAGTTAAATTTTTGTAATTTGACGTGGTGTGATGCAACTTTGTCACCTTGGTAGAAAAAAATGAGCTGTAATATTTTTAGAAAAACAAAAAATATATATATATATATACTCTCTATTTATATAGAGTGAGGGGCTTATATAATATACTCTATATTTATATAGAGTGAGGGACCCATACGGTCCAACATGTATGCAATCACGAAATCCACGGGTTTGTACAGCTGGCAACACCCTTCCCAAAACGTACTCTTCAATCCTCTTCTTAAATATTATTTGACACATAAAAGTGAATTTGATTTAAATGAAATTAAAAATAATAATAATTATGAGATTGATTATTATAATTATAAAATTAAAATTACTAATAAAAATATATGTTTGAATATAAATTAAGTAATGATAGTAAGTTGAATTATTACGAGAAAAAAATAATTATTAAAAATATTAAATTAAAATTGATATGTAATAAAAAATTTTAAATTATAAAATAATAATATTTTTAATATAATAAAAAATTTTATTATTTTATTAATTTATTATATAATAAATTTCATTTTTATATTAAATTTAAAAAATTCATTTCTTAATTTCTTGAATTAAATAAAATTTTTAAAAAATAAAAATATTAAAATATGAGAACAGTTAGAGATAAAAAAGAGAAAAAACACCCTCAATTGGCCGGAGCATTCCCTCTCCAATTGGCCATTGGAGCATTCCTTCTCCAATTACCAATTGAAGGTGCAAGCAGTGAAATTATTTAATCATGTTAATGCCAAATGAATTACCAATGCGATTGAAACCAAAAAATAGCTTTAACTGTGTCGCAGTAATCCTTCGATGGCTTCCAAATGGGGCCATAGTGACCGTTGATCAACTTAATCAGGTGATTCAATCACCGCGTTTATAAAAAATTCATAATTTTAAATGATTGTTATACAAGATAAATTAAAATTTTATTCTATTTCAAAATTATAATTATATTATAATTTTAAAATTTTAAAATATATTAATTGTACCAATATAAAAAATAAATTATGCATTTTTAAATATTATATAATATACAATTTGCTTTTATTATAATTTATATATTTTATTTTATTTTTTAATTCAAATGTTTTCATCTAATTTATATTATAAGGTTAGTATATCTATCAAGAAATATTTGTTAATTTAATTTTAATTATATCTTTTATGAAGAAAATAAAATATTACAAATATTTTTAAATTTGTTAACTTTAAATAATATTAAAAATATTAACTTGTATAATTATTACAATATAATTATTTTGATACTTTTAAATAAAAATATTATTTTATTTTCAACAATACTAAATACAATGATATTTAATTTTAAAAGTCATTGAAAGTTAACCAAACAAGATAATTTTAAATCATAATTAAAACATTGTAATAATAAGAATCATATCAGTGATTAAATTCATATAATAATCTTGAAATTAATACTAAATAGGTAAATAGATAGGTGTAATTTTTCTTATATATAATAAAATATTATTTTTATATCAGATTCAATTATTGGTACAAAAATAAAATTCAAATTCTTTTTTTCTAAAATTAAAAAAAAAAAAAGATAGAAGCCTATTATTCTCTATTGTACTTGTTGGAATAAATTTTACAAGGGAAGTAAAAAATGTTATCACGTATTTTTTATTTTTTCTATTAATTTTATTAATTATTTTAAATATCTTATATTAAGATATGAATCAATCTTGATGGAAAAACAAAGTACTAAAGAATCTCCTAGGCTTATTGCTAAAAAATTCACAACCCATAAGAATGGATTCAGACTGTGAGAAGTTCTTTTTATCAATTAGACTTGGATTTGTAGGGATTGAAAAGCATGCACGGAGTAGATTTCTAAATTTACTAGATTGATGTGGACAGTGCCCCCATTAAAATCGTCAGAGGAGATGAAGAAATCCAACAAAAGCAAAATATATTATAAAAAAAATAAAAATCACCATATATAAATTGTCATATTTTATATAAGACACGTGGGATTAGGCATTTTAAAATGGTGTTTAATTTGTGAAATTTTAAATTTTAAAAAAATGTGATATCTAAAAAAATAATGATATTTGATTTTTTTTTTTAAAGATATTTTGTATTCAATTTATTTAATTATTTTTAAAAAATTCATGTATATTAATTTATGAATAATTATCATAATCCTTTTGACATATATAATGATAATTTTTTATTTTATTTTATTAATAATAAATATGTAAATGATAAATGATACATTTAGTAACAAAATAAGATAAATATTTTATTTGATTATTATTTTTATTGATAAAATATAAAAAATTGAGACATTTAACATTTTTTTTAGTAAGAGAAATTGATAAAAAAATGGTTTAAAAAATCAGTTAATGCATTTATGACATTTTTATCTCAATTAATTTTTTATTATAAAATTTATCTAACAAAAGGTAAACAAAAAATAAAAAAAACAAAATGAACTATATGGCATGTGCACATCGGAAACAAAACAAAACATTTTAAACCTGCTTCTAATTTAATTCATTAAAAAAAAGTTCAATTCGATTATTATTTTTTCAAAGATATATATTTATATTGGATTAATATAAACCAATATTAAATATGAATTGTTTTATTATTTATAAATTTTATTTAAAAATTAAAAAAAAATTAGAAGAAGGGAGAGGTGACATTTGAACATCCTCTCTTTCCCATTCTCTTGAGAAACCAGGGCATAGATACTCGTGGCAGTATAACCGCGTCACCACCTAATAAAAAAGAGAAGATGACGGCCAGCATCACCAAAATTCGAAAAGGAGACGACACCCAATTTGGCCAATCTTAAAAAGCATTTGGCGAGACACAAGGAATCCAAAAAGCTGAGTGTTTGTCGCTATTAGTCCCTGTTGCTTTTTTTCGGCTGTCTATTGTAATTAATGCGGATCATCCATCGTCCTATTCCTCCCCCCCCCCCTTTTTCTTATGCCAACCAGGATGCGCTTCCAAGTGGGCCGCTTTTTGTCCTCCACGTGTTGTTGAGGATGCTTCTAACATGAACACGCTGGCACTGTCAACGATTTTCTTTTCGTCGTCATCCCACCGCATTGATGAACTGTATATTTTTAAAATATTTCAAATTGAAATTTATTGCGATAAAAGTTAATTGCGTTTGAAGGATGATTTTATTGTTCATTGAAAATGTGTTTTTCCATGTTTTCACAAAGATGCTTCTCGTCAAGTCAACTGCAGACCAGGGCAAAGACGAAAAGGTGAAGAATCAGCACAACTGATTGCTCAGTAAGATAATTAATTAGGGTATATATATTTTATATGTATATGTGATATGTCCATTTTACCTGTGATAGGGAACTTTTCTTTGCCTTAATTTGAGGACGCGATGGAGCACGGGTTTTGAGAGATTCAGAAAAAGATATAAAGATAGTTGGATGGATAGAATGACTTTTAGCTTGGAAAAGTTTGGATTTTAGCCTTTGGAATTGATTACTGTTTTTCTCATTCTTAGATTTAATTTCAAAGTAAATTAATCATATATGTTTTTTTACAAAAAAAGTAATACTTAGTGAAAAAAAATTACAGATATTAAAGTTTAAAATTCAAATATTTTAAATGTTTCATTTTAAGAGTAACTGATTAAACAAAGTTAAACATCTAACTTGAAGCATACAAAATCTAGTAAATTTTATGTAATAAAAGACTGTCTTTGATGGCTCAGAAGTCAGAAGTAAGAATCCTCTACCGTTCATGAGTGTTTCCAAAGGAAGTGCATTTCTTCCCCATTTGGTTCAGATATTTAGGACTCAAAGATAACTTCAAACATCTATTTAGGCCCATTAGGGAATGAAGTTTGGTTCCAACTCCGCAATGGGCCTACCATGAGGAATGAACCTAAGCAATGGCGAGCCCCATGCTTGGTTAAGAAGTTAAGCACTGAGTAGAGGTATCCATTAAGGGTCAATGACCTATCGAGCCCTGCAATACTAATCTATATTTTGAACCCCCAGTTTGTTCGTAATTTATAGGTTGGCAGAATATTATTGTTTTGCTAATAATAATAATAATAATAATTTCTTAGAAAGATGTTTAGGGTATATAATAATTTTTATTTTGATATAAAAATTATCATATAAATAAATAAATAATAATAAAATATTACTTTGTTTAGTTTCAATTTATGTAGTTTAATATATTATTATCACATTTTAAAAAGAATTATATTTGATATATTACCATAATTTTAATTAATTTTTAATTATTTATTAATAAAACTATTGTTTGATATAAAAATAATTTTAATTATTTATTGAATTCAAAACTATCAAATAATTTAAAATTTTTATTATTTACAAACATTAGTTATTGTCCTAAATAGTAATCCTTTTCTTATTTGTTTTAATTATCCAAATAAATATATCATCATTAATTTTAATTTTATTATTATTTTTAAATTCATCAAAATCAATCTCATTTATTTTAAATAAATATTTAATGAACTTCAGTTTCATTGTCTTTTTTATTTACTTTTATCATAATTATTGGTGTTAATTAGTAGCAAATCAGTCAAGAAAAAGCAAATCATAACTGACAAAAAAAAAGTGAGCAAATTGCTAAGAAATTTTAATGCTGATACAATGATTGCATAAAAGAGTAAAATCATTTGTTTTGTTATCTATAAAGTTGATTTATATTCTCTCACATCTTAGAGGCACTTTCTATTTTATTTTTTGCGTGACATAAGTATAAATTTTTTTTAATTAAAATTAAATAATCACTTAAATATTCATTGTTTTATTGAAATCAAATTATCAATACATGTTTTATTTTAATTGAGAGTTCAATTAAGTAAAAATAAATATTTAAATATTCAATTAAATGAGAATATATATTTAAAGATTTAATTGAATAAAAATAAATATTTAAAAATTAATTTTTGTTTATAGATTTTTCATACTTTTGGTATCAACAAGTAAAGGGTTGAAAAATAAATAAATTCCATTAGTGATGACTGAACTCATTGGTATCTTAAATAGGTTATTAAATTTTAATTTATTTCAAAAATATCATTAAAATTTATTAAATATATAAAAAAAAATCACCTTAATATATTTTATCCATATTTTAACAGAAAATGACTGACTAACATATCATTTGCGACATCATCTGCATCTCGTTTAACTAAACCTATATAAATTACAATAAATTATTTTTTATTCATTTTCCTTTTTTTATTTTTAAAATTTTTTTTATTCATTTTTCTTTTTTTTTTAACCTTTTTTAGCTCAAATTTTCACCAAGAATTCATTTTGATCTCCTCTTTCATGTTATTAAAACAAATTTTCGAAAAATTGCTCCTAAATCTTTGGATCTAAAATTTCAATCTGAAGCTTTAAGCCGCCTAAAGCTCACCTTGCCGCCGTTGATTGGCCCGTAATTTCAATAAGTTCTTCCTCTCTATCGTTTTTTATTTTTAAAATCTCGCCCTTCACTGCCGTCCGCCGTTATCACTTCCGGTATTGATTGTTCTGATTTACCTGTAAACGTTTGGTATTGGTTGTTCTGTGGTCTCAATTGAACTTTGCAATTCATCCGCCACTTCAAACCCACATCCTCCTCTTTCCCTAAAAGATTTTTTTAAGGGATACATTGTTTCTTATTTAATTGATCCTCTTCTGGCTCTTACAGATTAGCATTTCCAGAGGCGAACAACATAAGTTTCAAGAAAATTCCCAAAAATGGAAGATCTTGCTCAGCATTCCAGGCTTGGGCTTATGGTAGTTTTATTTCCTGTCTTTTGTTGCTTCTTTGTAAGCCTTAATGACTATGTACCTAATAAATAATATTTGAACTTCTGGGTTGTGAGTCTACTAACTTTTGCTTTAGAACATATTTGTCTAATGTATATGGATTTCCCAACGACAATGGGTTTGCCTCCAGAGCTTGAAGTCCTGTTTGTTCTCAAAGAGATTGATTCTGTCCAGAATTGATTTTGGCAAAGATGGTGGCTGACTGAGTTTAGGTAAATGAGGTGACAGATGATGCGGCAGGTATGTCATATTTTAATCAAAATTTGGATGAACTCTATTAGAATGATTATATTTTGTATATTTAATAAATTTTAATAATATTTTGAGATAAATTAAAATTTATAACTTATTTGAAATATAAGTGATAGTTACTACCAATGAAATTTACTCTCTGAAAAATAATTGAAACATGAACGAGTTAAAGATCTTTTGACCCTACCAAGGGCAGTGTTGTGGCAAAAGGAGTGCCATTTGGTAATTCAAAAGTTTTTTTTTTTTTTTGGTGAATGGTATTCAAAAGTTAGAAACCCAAGAAACCCGACGAAAGAGAGCAAATTTCATGCCAATTCCCAAAAGTAACCAGAACTGCCTTACCTCCCTAATTGCCCTTTAACCAAGCGGCAAAAGCCTGGTACGAACCCCTATTTGCCCTCTCTTATCTTCTTCCCTCTTTTAAAAGGCAAAAGTAAAATAAAAAACTTTATCCATTCACCACCTTTCCTTTTCATTCCTGTCCCCCATTTTTTTATACTTATTCACCCCCACTTCTCCACTACATAGACGCCGGGCCACCTCTGAAGTCTACTTCTTTTTTCTTTTAATTTTACTACTAAAATGAAAAACACCCTCCAAAACGATCCTCATCGTTTCCCAATCGCAACGTCGCATCTAAACTTGTCACATAACCCTATCAGATCATTTATTATTATAATTATAAAATTTATCAAAATTTTATATAAAATCACATTTATATATAATAGACCCTCCATAATTATTTAATGTGGTTGAATATATCAGGATCGTGTCCTATATTGATTTTTCATGTAACGGGGTAAACATCTAATTGGATAATACCTTGTGATCGCCTTGTACGCAATGCGTATCTGCCGCGTTACCCTACTTTTTTTTTTAATTGTCTTTTTCACGATACATACAAAAATAGAATAAACTAAAGAAAAACAGTGTAACTACTAAGGGTTAGAAATATTCCTCGCATTTTTTTATTACTATTATTGTGAAATTATGTTTTGCGTTTGCCAAAATTATCATCTCGTACGCACAAACAAACGGCCGTTGATGGCGTCGTCGAAGCCAACGTAACGGCAATGGACGACGTTGACAGGGTGGATCGTTGCCTGGGTCAACGAGCTGAAGCTCGCTGGGATTTGGTTCGTCGTTCGACGGTATGGAGCGAGCCATTTGTTTTGCATGTAACGGTTTTTTCTCCAAGGAGGTAGGGATAAATCTTTGCTCTTCAACGATCTTTTTGCCGAATCACTCATGACCTTGACGATCTTTTCCAATTCCTCCTTTTTTCCCACGAAAACCCTAGGCAAATACTGCAAAAGCCTCGAGTACTCACTCGTCGGCCTCGCGATCTCGAACTCGGAGGCAAAATCGAGGTCAATGAAGTACCGGTTTTGCCGTGTGGATGATACCGGCTGCACCACATCGATGAACTCGTAGTTTCCGGCTGTTAGGCCTCCCAAGGAACTCCATTTGGTCTTGCAGATCGCAGCATTATGGCCGGCCTCGCGAAGATAAACCGTTACTTTACGCCTGAAAATAGCTTTATCCGTTTTGAAAAAGGAAAGCATTTCCATTGCTTTCAAAACGTGAGGCATGAGCAGATTCCTGTAAGAATCCTTGTTGTTAAGAGCGGTTGACTTGACGATAATCTCAAGCGAGTCGGTATTATTAAGATTTGCGTCGACTCGGTTGGAGTCAGAAGAGTAAACAGTCTGTTCAGTAGCATCGTGGGCGTCTTCCAGGAAACTATGAACGAGTTCCGAGAGGCAGGGAGAGTCATCTTCTGGGACGACGGTGGAGGCAGAGTGTTCGCTTCCGCTGCTAACGTCACTTGCGCCGATGAGTCGAGCCTTGACTCTGTAGTCGAGCGGGTCAGTAACTCGTTTTATTCTTCTACCAAAACTAGCCATTGAAGTTTTGTACAAGACGTCGTTTTCTTTGTGTTTTGAGGGATTTGGGGTTTCGTTTGGATTAGCTTGAGCTAAATAGAGGGTTGGGGGAATAATAAAGGAATATCTGAGGAGCTTAAAAAAACCGGGTTTATTTATTTATTTTTAAGCGAATTTATGGTGGAATATTCCAATGAAGTGTTTACATCAGTTGTGCTTTTGATCTTCTAGGAAAGGATGTAGACGTGGCAGAATATCCAGCGGTACATAAGGTTTATGCGGGTGGTAAGGTGGGCGGAAGTGATTTGATTTGAGTTGCTTCTTTTTTTTCTTTGTATTTTTTTGCGGGAGGGGTTTGTTCATTGTTGGCTGGGATGAGGTGACACGTAGATAAATGAATGGAATGATCATGGGACATGGGAAGGTGGGGGATAGTTAAGACGTAAAAGGCTGAGGATGAGGTTGCCCCCCCTCTTCGTGAAAGGGAAGAGTGAGAACTGAGACTGAAAAGATTTTTGCTGTTGCTGTTGGATTAGGATAGCCTACGAAGAGATCTAGATTTAGGTTTGGATAATCTGTTTTCGGGATTTGTGTTAAGTCTATAAATATATAATATTGAGAAATCGTAAAAAATTAAGTTAATTTTTTTTTTCATTTTAAATTATTGAAGTGATATTAATTTTTACTAAATTTAAAAAAAAATAATTTTAATATAATTAATATTAAAATTAAAATTTTATGATTTTTAATATTAAAAAAATATAAAATATAATTTTAAATATAAAAATAAGAATTTTAAACATTAAAAAAACATAATTTTTTGACATTTTATAAAAAATGAATAAAAAAATAAGACAGAAAGAGTATTATTATTGTTATATAGTATATGCTAAAACTCCTGTTTATAATATGTTACTTCAATTTAAATAATTAGCAAGTATAAAGATTTTAATAGTTTGATACGTTCAAACGAAATTTAAAAACCTATTATGAAATTTAAAATATACTATGAAATATAAAACCCTAAATTCTGGGTATTGCATGTTGTATAGTATTCTTTCTCTTTCATTTTTTTTATGCTTAAAATTATGTTTTGTTTTTTTAACATCTAAAATTGTTATTTTTTATATTTTAAAATTATTTTATGATTTTTTAATATAAAAAATTATAAAACTTTAATTTTAAAAGAATTTAAATTTAATATTAAATATATTAAAATTAAAATTTTTTTTAAACTTCACAGTCAATCCAGGACAAATAAGGAGGAAGGGAGTAAGATTTTCTGCCAAGTTGAGAAGGTGAGATGACAACTTTTTCCATGGTAGTAGCCACGTTAACACTACAAGACATCAAATCATTTCATTCTTATCAATTATTAGTACTAGTGTCACTTATTTTTCGGGTACATGAAACCAATAACTATTAATCATTTACTCTGCCAGGATCAGAGTTTTGTCTGCGGTAATTCGAAGGCTTTCCTCCGACCTCAATTCTAATGCCACAGAAAACGACATTTTGGTATCAATCAAAGGAAATTGTGATAGAATAATGAGCCAGCGCATTGATAAGGAAATAATCTCTTTGTTACGTTTATTAACTCTAATGACATTGTTGACTTCTTTTGCATTTATCGTTTTATAGTTTAAGAGGGTGTGTCGAACTTGTATGGTTATGGTTATGCCTTGATCCGAAAGGATGCAGGGTAAGAAAAAGAAAGAATTAGAAATGCCCAAAAACAAACAACCCATGAAAAATGAAAGAACACGTCCTCCGGAAACAAGAGCATAAAGTAAAGAAAGTGAAAATCTCATTATTATTATTAAGAAAAATTCATCCACAGGCCATTAACTTCTATACCAAATACTGGACGGATATGTTCAGGCTCCTCTTAAAGCAGGAAACTGATGATGCTCAAAGTCAAAGGAAGGGGGGGTGGGGTGGGGGTGGAGCAACAGGAGCTGAAGGAACTGGTCCCTGTCTAGCCGGCCTCTCACAGCAAACCCTCTCCATCATGCCTACGAGGAGGCTTCTCCCCATAGCCCTAGCGATAAGGTCTATCCCCATCACCTTGGCCATGACACGAGGCATCCTACCGTCATGCCTATCATTATGTTCCTCCCCATTACTATTGCAATCGGCGGGCCTCTCCATATCACCCCTGCCATAAGGTCTGTCGCCATACCATCTCTGCCGCATATAAGGAATCATACCTTCGGTTGGTTCTAACTTTTAAGAATTCATTTGATGCTTAATGTCATCAAGGGACGAACATAACTCCTCCATTTTGTTATGATAACCCTTAATTTCCTCCTCTTTGACCTCCCTGATAATTATTCAAAGTAGCGGACTGCCCTGCAATGCTATTATCTGACGAAATAAAACTACCCTTCACAGGCTGCTCTCTCGTCTTATCGTCTGCAAAAACAATAGGACCGGAATCCTCTTGCTATTCCCCAGTGCTCTTCACTGAGGAATAGGCCTTGGCTTCCTCCTTGGCCTTCCTTCTGGCTTCAGCCTCTGCATTTTCTCTCTTTCTTGTCAAGTTCAATTAAACCAATATTGCCATATTGGTGCAAAGTAGAAAATCACGAAATACAATAATGATTATATGAAAAAAAAAATTCCACACAAATGGCACCTCAACCTCAACAATAATGCTTAAACTTGTATCTGGTCTCGCACGAATTCTCAGAATACTGATTTTATCGTAAAAGGATGACAATTTTTATCAAATTCTGAGTTGGTCTAGTCCTGCAAAGGAGAAGTAGCTTCGTTTGCGAAGTTTGAAAATATAGTGCCATTAAAGTAAGGACCAAATTTGAAATAAAAAACATTTGTATAGTCAGCAACAAAACTTAAGCTTTGATCTAAACCAATGGATGAATTGGATACGTACTAGCAGACTAAAAGAGTGGGAAGAGCTCTTTAGGACCATAATCTCATTATTGGCCCAAGATGAAAATTTGTTTTGGGAATTATATTTTTCCCTTTAACCTACAGGGATTTGTGGATGTGTTTAAGGTTTCCTAATTTATAAAAAAGAAAAAAAGGACACTTGATTATATGATTCAATTATTAAGTAAATGTTCTTTTGTACATAGGAGATAACAATATAAAAATAGTAAAAGATGTTGCTCAGATTGAAATTTGACTTGATTTTTAATAAAAAAATGCTTAGCCTGTTGTAAACTGGGCCAAGTCAATGGCCTAGGACAGTTTCTTAGGCCTAAATAGTTTCTGGTTATGAGCTACGCTCTTGAGTCTTGACTCAACCCAATTTCTGTGCCCCATCAGAAAAATCATACTTAGGAAGGGCTACCAAGTTATTAACCAAAACGGGATAGTCCTTAGACGTAAGTGGCTGGCCCAACTCAAGGTCTATTTAACCCAAATTTTTAGTTTAAAAAATTGGGCCAAGCTTGAACAAGAGCTAATTACAGGCTAAAAGCCTGGTCCTACGCCCTCCTAAGTCCTAACCCCACGTAAGCATCCCTAACCAACATATTTAAAGTGTTAAGAATGGTTTAAGCTCGGTTAAAAAAAGTCAGTTCAAAGTGGAAATCTGATTGGCCTGTGACGTTAACTCGTGGGAACTTATCAGAATTCCTCTCTCGCGTATTCTTATTTTTTTTACTTGAAACATTAAAATTTAGACTTAAATCCTCGAAAGTAAAAATCCAATACTTTATTACTATACAAATCTCCTATATTGTGGCTGTTTCATCTTTGCGTGGCCGCTAATTTTTAGCAATTTCTTGTTTTGGACAACACACCGACCATTTCACTTAAAATATATATTGTTCTCTCAAAATTTTTTAATAACAAATAAAAACAAAATAAAGCAAATAAGATATTATACTTTGTAATAACCTAGTTAAACAAATACGTAATTTTTAAAATACCCAAACGAAGAAAGCACTCCACCAGCAATGCATCACCACCTTCAAATCAAGCTTCCTAAACAAATATTTTTTTCATTTTCCGATCTTTACCCCTCATTGTGAGGTTAGAATTTTTTTTATATAGTATTTTACTGCTTTAACTTATCTTTCTTTTGGCCCCCCGAAAAAAAACTGCTTTATAACTAAACCCACGTCATGTCATGCCATGCCAAGACAAGAAACAAAAAAAGGAATTGCGGGTCACCTGTCAGCTAGCAAGCTGGCCTGCACTGCCTGTTGTACTGGAACTTTTTTTGTTTTTTTGGGTTAAAAGTGTGCTTAACGTTGGGCTGCTGAAATTTGGTGATTGCTGATTAGTGGTTACAACTATTACAAGTAAACAGAGTAAATGAGGATTAGATGTAAAGAACTTTATATTATTTATTTATTTATCTGGGTTTTGTTTTATAATGACAATGATGGGATTGGCACGTGGATAAAAACATTACAGTAGATTTTTGGTACCATTGCGACATTTGAAAAAGATTTTGAGGCACATGCGTAACACACACCTTACTTTTTATTTTTCTCGTGAAAATGAAGTTTTTGTCATCCAACGAGAAGAAACCTGATTACGCTTTTTTTTCATTATTTTTAATAAAGGTTAAATGCAATTCGATTATTGTATTATGTTATTTGATTTTGATATTTAAAGAATTAAAATTTATAAGTAGGTACGTCTAATATTTTATTTCAAAGACTGACTAGATATTGATGGGCCTTAATTAGGTAAGGATAAAATGGCAACTATCATTATCACATTAGTATGAAGAGAAAAAATAAAAAAAAAATTTGTTAAAAAATTCAAATAACTAAAAATAAAAAAAATTATGGAAACCTTTTAAAAATCTAAAAACTTCCAAATAAAAAATAAAATACAAATTTTAAATTTTAAAATTATTGAAGACACCATTAAATTTTTAAAGTTTGAATTTTAAAAATTCAATTAAAAAATAAAAAAAAATAAAGAAAGAAAGAGGAAAATCAACGGGAGAAAGGGAAGGGGGGAATGAGAAGAGAGAGAAAAATAATGGAGGAGACATAATCGGGCACCACCAATTGACTAGCTGGTTCAGAACGGATAGGGTCAACATGCTCAAGTCCAAGCAGATAAGTGTCGATCTAGCTGTAGCAAGCCAAATCGGTGCCCTAATCGACTACAACTCCCCTTCCCATCCTTTTTTTTTTCCCCATTTTTTCTCCTCGATTTTAATTTTTTTTCTTGATTTCTCTTTTTATTTAAAAAATAAAGGTT